GCGTGGGGTGGGAGGGGGAAACATAGCTGGGAGCCTTCTGATCACAGAGCCTGGGGTGGAGATCACACCCACCACATCACCTACCCAGTGGAGAGAGCCCTGGATCCCAGAGAGCTCCAGTCTCCATGTGGAGATGCATTGAGGCCTCAGAAGTGGGAAGGAGGACAGTTCTGCCTTGTTGATACTGCACTGGGTGACTTCTGGGATTGTGACTGGCCTGGGCCTTCATTTCCCTGAGCAGCTTCCTGGTAGTGTATGAAGAGCACTGGCCTTCGGGAGCTAGAGACTGGGTCTGAATCATGCCCCGATGCGTGACCATAGAAAAGTCACTTTCTCTCTCTGGGCTTCAGTTGCTGAAACTGAAAAAATTTGGTGACACTCTGTACACAGTCAGTGAACACAGACAGCTTCTTTGCAAAGAGCAAATGAAGAAAGGAATAGAAGCTACGGGAGGAGTGAACATTTCTTGAACACCTACAAAGTCCTCAGTGCTGGGCAAGGCCTTGATGATGTAAAAATAAATGTTCTTTAATTATTTTAACAGCAGTCATAGAGATGGCCGTTCATTGGGTTTTTACTTTATGCCAGAAGCTGTGCTAAGCATGGCTCATGTGTTAGGTCACTGAATGAGAAGGTATTGTTACCTCTCCTCCCACCCTCCCATGTCACCAATGGTGAGTCAGAGACTCAAAGCATTTATATAAGTTGGTCAAGACTTCCAGCCTTGGAAGACTGCAAGTGGCTTCACGGTTTTTGCACAGCACATCTCTCTGGTGTGCGTTCACAGGACCCCCGTGTGCTGGTACTGCCTCAGTGTGGAGCAGCCACAGCCTGATTCAAAGCTCTGTGCTGCTGTCATTGTCGAGCCTAGGTTTGAATCCAAGTCAGTCAGTGAGTTGTGCCAGGTCCTTGGCCCTTCACAGCTCCGTGCCTCAGCCTCTTGACCACCTTGGAGCTGTCCACCCTCAGCACAGGGAAGCCAGGCAGCCTCCTGTTTAATATAATACATTACCCTCTCAACTAGGAAGCAAGCAGAAGGGGGTTAGGGGACACTGCTAATCCATGGGGATGCAGGTTGGGGAGAGGCCTTCTGGTTTGGGAAGGGAGTGCATGGCTCTGGGGCCAGGATGATCGGTGTGTGGGGCAGATGGTCAGGCCACAGCACATGCCACCAGCCCAGCTGCACAGGGCCCGCCCTGCTGCCTCATGTGAAGGCCATGTGTTCACAGCTGGGCCTGGCCCACGTGCAGGGCTGCTCCGGGCCAGGTGGGAGGGGGTGGGAGGGAAAGCCTGGCCTTGCTGGGTGGGTGAGGGGAGGAGCCAGAGCCATGGGCCTAGCCTCCTGGCAGAACCTTCTGGCTCACAGGCTGTGCTCACTTTTGGGCATCTGGCATATGTGCACAGATCTCTTCTCCCCAGAGCACAAAGGCCCTCAGCCTTGAGGAAGGGGTAGCCTTGTGGGGCAGAGGCCTGGGCAGCAGTGAGAAGTCCTTGAGACCCGCTGAGGTGCCTCTTTGTAAAGGAGATGCTGGGCAAGTGGGGCCTGCCACTGGCCAGGGCATCCTCACTGAACAAATGAGGCTGGCCCAGGAGGGGGCTGGGCTCGCATTCCAGCCTAGCACCTACCTCAGCCTACCTCATTTCAGACGCATAGGGTGTGAGGGAGCCACGACCTCACAATAGCTGTGTGCACTTTTTAGGGAAGGGGAGACAGGCCTGCTTGCATCCTGGACTCCATCCAGGTGGGTGAGGGAGGACAGAGGTCTCGCTCCTGCCCTCTCAAGCCTAGTCACCAGAGTTGCATTGGGGAAAGTGCCCTACCTGTGGCCCTGATTGTGAAATGTAGCATTACCTTCCCACTTTATAGGAGAAGACTCGTCTGGAGAAACTGAGCAGGCAACCAGGGTCTGTACCCAGTCCCATCTGGAACCATGACATCTAACTACTAAGATCAGGTATCAGGATCCAGCCTTGTTGCTGTGTAGAAGGATGAGATTTTAAATAACCTAGTTAAAACAGACCTCACGCGCTTTGCCCGGGAATCTAACACTTTGACACAAGAAGACTAGGAATAATTTTTTAAAAAAGATTTATTTATTTGTGCATACAGAACTGGGGTACATACAGAACAGAGGCTCAAGGGCGGTGAGAGGCTTCACCAGAGACAGAGTGGGGAGCAGAACAGGCAGATCAACGAAGTACACTGCTGAAGAGAGCAATGGGCGGGTCAGGAGAGGTCTGCCGCGCCATGTGGTCACCTCCGGGGCAGGCGGGGATCGAACTCATGAGGAAGTGGCTTTAGCTTCTCAGTGCAGTGCTTTAACCCGCTGCGCCACCAGGGAGGGCCCAACACTAGGAATAATTTTAAATGCAATCAAGTATTCAGCTGTGCGTGGTGAATATAGCGAGGTTGGTCAGGCTTTCCTGGAGGGGGTCTTAGGCTGTCTCTGAAGGGTGGGCTAGAGTTGGCACACAGGTAGAAGGGGCGGTCTCAAGCCTGTCGCAACAGCCGGTAGGTTCTTACCTTTGTTTCTCTCCAGCACCTTCTACAAATGCCCACTGTAATCCCATCTGAGCTAGCAAGTATTCTGATGCCTGTTTTATTGATGAGGAAACTGAGGTCCCCTAAGGTTATGGACTTCCCGAAGGGCATGTGGGTGCCTTTTAGCTAGCCTGTTGGGAACAGAGATGCTCCATCCAGGACTTATCTGAGTGACCTGGGGCCTAATATGCCCACCCCTGTTTCCTCCTGTGCAGATGAGATAACAATCTTGATTGAAGGGAATATTTTAGATGAGATGATCCTGCCTGTAAATGATCCCACAGTGCCAGATAGACAAACAGAGCTCAATAAATATTCTTGTTTTAGAAATGGACTTTGACAAAAGTAATGGCACAGAGTCACAAATCTGGAGTGAAACTGGCCCACAACATGGCACAGGACCCCCTAGGTTGGCCTTGGCCTCCCTGTTACCTGATCGTCTGCAATAACCCTGGATCCCCCGTGCAGATTCCTCCTGAGATCCCTGCTCCCGGGGAAGCTGCTGTTCCGGGCCCAAAGAGCTGGATCACTCCCTGTTTGGCATCTGGGCCCAGTCAGCATTTCCACAGAGCTGTGCCCTGTATCAGATAGGCGCCCCCAGCCTGGGGTAAAGGGGAGGCAGAGGTGCTAGGCCAACCCCACAGCCCCCACCCTGCCCTGGGACTCCCGGGAACCTTTCTGTCCCCCAGACCTTGTTTATTTACTCAGGCTGATAAAGCAGGATTCTCTGGACTCTGGCTGGGAACAGGCAAAGTGCATTGTTCTGGGACTTTTCTTGGATGGGTTTGAGCTGAGGCCAGTCTGGGAGTTGGGGGTGGGAAGGGGGCATGACAACATTTTCTCTGCTGCCTTCCTGCCCCTCCCTGGGTTTCCTAGTCTGGTGAGGGGCAACTCCCTGGTTGCTGGAGGATTTTCAAAGGTGACAGCAAACCTTTCAAAAGCATGGGCTGCCATCCGGCACCTGCAGGAGGTGAGGGATGAGCAGGGTCTGTGTCTTGGCCCCTCTCAGGAGCTTCTCTGGAGAGCTACAGTGAGGGGGAGACCTGGACTCTTGGTTGCAGAGCGACACAACTCCGTGGGGAGCCCTGTCCATGGGTTTCGTGGTGACGTTTCCACGTCATGGCACAGAACTCCGCTGCAGTCTCCTTGGCTCTTTGCACATATGAAGAAATGGGTGCAGATGTTAAAAAGCTGGAGGCGACCAGTATGAATCCCTGTGCAGTTATCGAGAGTAGCTGATAATGAGCCGCATGTCAAATCTGGTTGGGGCCATTAGTACTTACCCCCCAGATGCAGTGGGAATCAAGGCAAAGAGAGAGACAAAGGCCACCTTCCTGAATGTCCCTGCAGCCCCAGGTGTCTAACTGCTGAGACTGACAGCACTAGCCTGGGGAGTGTCTTCTGAAGACAGGAATCAAACCATTATTCAGTGTTGGGCCCCCTGGTGTCCAGCCAAACAAGTGGAGCTGAATGAGTGATGGAATGTGAGATGAAAGGAAATGTTCTCTCAGAAACTCCTCCTCTGGGTGGGGAGGAGCTAGAAGCGCCACCACGGGAGGTCATTCTGGTTTATCCAGACTCAGTTTCTCCCTTTGCAAAGTGGGAACGTGGAGGCTTGCCATAGTTTGTGTGTATAAACTGAGACGAGTGTGTGTAAATAGCAGGTGCGTAGAACAGAGACTAAATCTGTGTGGAGGGATTCGACGGGCCTCCTCTGGTGCCCACGGTAGCCTCTCGGTAGCCACAGGTGTGGCCCTAGCCTGCAACCCTGGCCACATCTGCAGTATCTGAGTGCCTGGCAGCAGGAGGCTGGTTGGGGTGCCTCTTGGGGGCTTCACTCAGCACAAAGACCCCACAGCCCCTCCTGACACCTTCTTATTCCCCAGGTGCCTTGTTACTCGTACGGGCAGAAGCTGTCCAAACTGGCCATCCTAAGGATCGCCTGTAACTACATCCTGTCCCTGGCACGGCTAGCTGACCTCGACTACAGTGCAGACCACAGCAACCTCAGCTTCTCCGAGTGCGTGCAGCGCTGTACCCGCACCCTGCAGGCCGAGGGGCGTGCCAAGAAACGCAAGGTATGTGCCCCGGGCACCGTCTCCGGAGAGGGACGGAGAGGTGCAGACAGAATTTGGGTGCCCCACGCACACCTAGACTTCCAGGAGACCAGTGAGAACCACCTCCTGGGGGCTTGCTGGAGTCGTCTCTTAGGTCTCTGGGATTTGGGGTATGTCCTTACTCCTGGTAAGGAGACTGCTCGGTACCTTGGACAGTCACCTCAGGGTTTGCCTGTCACTGAAAGAGAAGGTGGCGTGTCCCTGAAGCGCTTCTGTCTCATGTGCTGTGGTGCTGAATTCCCCAGGCGGCCCCTAATAGATGTCATATCAGGAAGAGATGCGCTGAGCCAGTTGACAGCTCGGGAGGGCCCTTCGGCACGTCTGGGGAATGTGACTTGGCCTGTGGGCCACCCGAGGCTGTGTTTGAAGGGGGTATTCATTCGTTCATGCTAGAGAGATTTGCTAAGCACCAACCATGTGTCAGGCATGTTGGGCATGGGTACAGAGATGACAGACTATCATCCCTGTCTTCACATAGCTCACAGGAGGACCAGAGAGATGAGGCGTAGGCGAGGGAGGGACAGTGTGGTGGTGGTGGGGCAGGGTCCTTTGTCAGGGACAATGAAAGGCCTGGCAGAAGAAGGACAGGTCACCTCTCCTTCCCAAGGCAGCCTGCAGGGGCACCTTGGTACAAGAGGTGTTTAAGCAAGACTGGCAGGACCAACGAGAGGTCACCAGGTGGAGGAGCAAGGCATACATCTGGGGTGGATGACACAGCTGACACCAAGCCCGTCTGTGTCCCCAGATAGACTGTGCTTCCTGAATTTTCCAGTTTGGGTCATTGCCAGGAATGCAAAGTGAAACTTGGGGCAACTCTCAGGCGCTCTGTACCTGCAAGGCTAGAGGGACAGAGGTTGGGACTAAGTCTGTGTCCTTGTGAGGAGGGTAGGGCAGTGAGAGATGCCTGGCTTTCTGGGCACCTGTTGGGGAGCGTGGTGGGGGCCAGTGACTGGCATCCTCCACCCCTCCTGCCCTCCCGCCCTTCCTGGTCCGCTCCTCCCCCTGTCCCTTACCTTCTCCCCCAGGCTTCTGCTGGACAGGGCCTTCCCTGACCCCTCCGTGGGTGCTCCTGCCCTCACAGGCCGGGAGGGCCCTGGCATGTGCTCACCAGCAGTGACTGCCGCTGCTATAATTGCGTTTGCATTTCTGGAGGTGATTTAATGTGGACCAATTAGATGAAATCCTTATCGAGTGGGTGAGAGAGGAAGCGCCACTGACTGCTCACAGGGCAGCTTTCCTCTGGAAAGTGACGAGGGTAAATTAGAGGCGTGATTGATGGCTCCATGCCGTGCTCTGTGACAAAGGAGGTTTGTAAACTCCCAGTGAACTTCCCTTGGCATTCAGGAGGCCGGGAGGTGGAAGTGGGCAGCGGGCAGGCGCCATTTTCTCCATCTCCGCCCCTGTTCCCCCCTCTCTGAGAGCCCTCCCCTCGCCCACCAGAGCCAGGAGTGCTGACACCCCTCCTTCTCTGCCTCTTGCTGGAGCTCAGTGCGCTGGATTGGGAGGGAGGCTTTGCACCTGGCAGCGGAATGAAGGAGGTGGTGAATGGAGCCGAGCAGAGGTGAGCTTTTGGCTCACCTGAAAATCACCTCAAATCTAAGACCCCTTAGAGATGACCTGGTCCAGCCTCCCCCTCATTCTGGTTGGGAGGGGGCAGCTTGTGGTTAAGAGCATCGCACAGCCCTGAATTCAACGTCCTGCCTCGCCACCTCCCAGCAGCAGCATCTGGGGCCATTCTTTTCCTCATGGAGCTTGTGTTTCTCATGGCTAGACAGGGCTGGAGGAAACATCTCTAGACAGGGATGGTGGAAACACATCGGCCATTCTAAGGTCCTTGCAGTCTTGCCCTGCCTCACAAGGGCACTGGGAAGTGGGCACCTGCATCCCTGCTGGCAGTGACTCACCCTGGAGCTGGCCTCCCCCGGTGCTGCACCTGGGTGAGTCCCTGCACCAAGAGGACTTAGATGGGAGGGTGGGACAGGGTCCTGGAGCTGCGGGGCAGCCGCGACCTCCCCAAGTACCTGCATCCGCCTTGGCAGATGGGGGCTCAAAGGACCACGCCACTCCCAGTGCTTGTGCCATCCTGCATCTTGGTGACATGCAGGTAGCAAGTCCAAGGTGCCCTCACGGATGGTCTCTAGAGACTCGGTAGCCCTGAGTGACTGGGATAGGCCTCCACTTTGTTAACCAGAACCAAGGGGCTGGTGTTCTGGAGAGTTACTTTCTCCTTGGCTCATTGATTGATTCATTCAATGTTATTGAGCACTTACAGTGAGTAATACATGGGAATTCTGTGCCAAGCACACAGACACAATAAAGAGTATTCACGGGGGTGGGGGGGGGAGGGGGCGGGGCTTAACCTTCACAGTCCTTGTAGATGGAGCATATAGATCTGGGGCTCTGGTCAAACCCCTGTTATCTCTCCACTGAGGGCAGTCTGAGCATTAGGGCGGCAGTGAGCCAGGCTTCCAGCCTAGTGGGGGAGCTAGAAAGCAGAGAAGAAGCTAGGAAACATACCAGTGTAAGTCATCAACTCAAAGGAAGTCCTTCTGCCCATCTTAGCCTTTCCTTAGGGGGGACCCTGGAGCCCCGCTTGGAAGCTTCAGTCTGTTTTGCAGAGAGACAGGAGGGAGGAGTGGAAGGGCTCTGGAGAGCTCAGTTCTGACTCTGACTGCAGCCTGAGATAATGCATGTTAAGCACCTGGCTGTGGGCCAGGTTTCCGCAGCTCCCGCAGCTCCTGTTTTGAAAGCAGCCACTCCTGGGAGCTGAGGGCGAGGAGGAGGAGGAAGAAGAGTAGCAGGACCACTCCCCCTGGGCTGGGTGAGCCTTGCCAGACATGTGGGATTGGAAAGGACCAATTTCCCACCATCAAGGGCACCCTCTCCCCCAGTGATTTTAAGATATTGAGCAATAATATCAACGCGTTTAAGCCCCAGTGATAAGTGGCCAGTGGGCCCCCACCCTCAAGTTGCTCACCAACCCTAGATTGGGGTTGGGGGCAGATGAGCTGAACCATGATGCTCAGAGTAGGGACTGTGCCAGGGAGCTGGGCAGCTATTAGGGACCCCTGGAGCTATGTGACTCTCGCTGCCTGGGGGGGATCTGGCTTTGTAAGGCCAGAAAGCACTTCGCCCTGGGGCTCATCAGGAGCCCGGGGAGGCGGGGTGGGGTGGGGGTGGGGCTGGTGTGACTCCTCTGGACCGTGGCCTCCTCCTTTTCCCTGCTGCTTTCTGGAAAGACTTTCTTGGTGGTGGATCTGAGGTGACCTTGGTTCTCTTTGGAAGAACGTTTTGGGCGCAGCCTTCTGGAGCTTTGGTGCTGGAGACAAGCTGAGGTGGCACGTTGGTTTTGGGTCTGGATCAGTGATCCGAGGATCCCCTTATAGTCTGGGTCCTGTAGCACCTGTCTCTCTGTGGCTGTTCCCAAGTCCCCTAGAGTGGAAGGCAGAGCCTCAAAAGCTCCTGCTCTGGCTGGATCCCACCCCCGTACTCCCACAGATTCTCTAAAGGGGCACCACCCAGGCTCCCCCTCCACCTGTACATCAGCACCCTCTCAGGAGCTCAGTTTCTACTACTGTAAGGTAAGTTGCTGCTGAAAGTTAATTCTAAGCTCTTTCCAGTTGGACTTTCTGAACTTAGGTCTTAGCTCAGCTCCCTTTTCTGTCCAAATAACTAAATACTCATTTCCACTCTGCCTATCACAGACATTTCACACAGATTGAAATTCTCCCACGAAGACCTTTGGAACCCCAGTGCACTGCATCCCTAGAATACTGATAATCCTGATGTCTGTGAGCCTAGATTGTGTGCTGGGCCTGGCACGTAGGGCTGCTGACCTTGGTGACTCCTCGCACCAACCCTGAGGGGCCAAGCGTTTTCCCATTGCAACGCAGTGAAACTGAGGCTCCTGAGGAATTTCCCAGGGTCACTTGGCCAGCACGAGAGAGTGCCCGGCCTCTACTGCTTCACTGTCCTGCCTCCCACATGGAAGTGGAGTGGGTAAGTTCTGTTTCCAAATCCTCTGAGCCAACCTTTTGAGTTAAGCACCACTTGCTTTCAAAGCCCACAGAGTCTATCTCTGCTGGGAAAAAAAGGAGGGTGGGTGGGAAACCACCATCAAATTCCCTTCCAGTCATAAAAATGGATGCAATTTATTTTTTCTGGCATTCCAATTACATAGACGTTTGTCACCAGCTGTTTGTACTAACACGGAGTGTTCTCTCAGCTGCCGTTTCTCCTCTCACATTTGACACCGTTAGTCCACACGTCTGGCAGGAACTGGGATGGAGGGATCTTTGGCTGGGGAGCCCCACAGGTGAGCTCAGAGCCGGCTTTCCTCAGAAGGCAGAACACAAACCTCTAATGTTCCCTGGTGGTCTTGAGGTGGGGTAGAGGCTGGAGCTCTGTCTTCCTCCCTCCTTGCATACTCCCTTCATTCCCTCCTCCTCCTCTCCTTCTGGAGATTGCTCCCTTCCTAACACACGCTCCCAGAGCCCTTCTCCCCAATGTGCTAGCTATGAATGAAAATGCAGCCTCACGTGTAGCGATAAAAACCAACCAGTTATAAGAGGGGGGGGGCAGGGGGAGAGCACAGGGGCCTATGGGGGATGACTATGGTCCTTTGGTTGTCGGAGAGCTACAGCCTTGGGAATACAGAGGCCGTCCCGAGAACCCCTCTGGAAATCCTCTGTGAGGCAGAACACACTCTCGGGGACCTCCTGGAGAATTATCGACCTCAGTCCACAAGGATGGAGAAAGGGTATCTGTTTATCTGGGAAAATAAAGACAACCCTGGGTGTCTTTCATTTTCTGGGGTGCTGTCACTTCACTTTAAGCCACATAAAAGTATAAGGAAGTCCTCAGTAGAACCAGAAAGTAGGCAAAGTGTAGAGCTTTGGGACTGGGGACCTAGGTTTGAATTCTGGCACTGACACTTCCTAGCTGTGTGACTTTGGGCATGT